AGTATATAGTATATATATATATATATAATATATAGTATATAGTATAGTAGTATAGTATAGTAGAGTAGAGAGAGAGAGAGAGAGAGANGAGAGAGAGAGAGAGGACATGGAAGGAAATTGGAAATAGTAAATATCCCTAGAAGTAAAGCTACATAGCTATCAAAGATGATACATGTAAAAACATAACTCCTAAAATAGAAAATGTATCTTATGTAATTTAATAAGAAACATAACATCAAAGCTCCTTGATTTTCTGTATCTATATCTACATGATGTATTCTATGCGAGTCTCTAACGTCTCGCCTAAAATCTCCCTCCAGATAGATCTCAATTATATGTGTCTATTATAGGATTGCATACTATAAGACTTCACTTTTGGTGTAAGGAGGTTGCAATCACTTTTTGCCATTTGATGTGAAATCCGACAAATTGAAATGTGCCACAAAAATTGAGAATTTTCATTTTGGATTTGTGCCCAATTAGAGATACATCCCCAAGCACTCAATTTCACATCTAATGGTCAATAATGATTGTGATCTCATTATACCAAAATTATTGTATATATTTTCATCTATTATATATATTGTATATGTTATATTAAAAAATGTAACTCCAAAATAGGAATATGTAAAAAATTAAGAAGGCAAAAGGAGAAGCATAAAGGACACTTGTCTCAAAAATAAGAGGGGTGCCCTTCTCGCTTAATATATAATTATTTGCTTTAAATTTAATATTATGATTATTATAAGTATAATTTCAATATCACTTATGTTTGTAAATATGTATTAAGTATAAACAAATAGTATTTGTTATTTTTATTAATATTAATTGTATAATTACATCGTTAAAACTACACGAGTATATTATATTAATAATATAGTTCCTATACTTACAATATTAGTAGTATTTATATCTATCATAGTTGGTACCAATGTTTAAGAGACGGATTGGTGACCCAGATCGTCCATTTGAAAAATCGGGTCGGATTGATGGGTCGGTGTTCTGGATTGGAGAATTGGCCGGATGGCCAGATTCGTCCTTAAAATTTTTAAAAAAATTGTTGAAATTACTTAAAAATCTAGTTTCTTATGTTTTCAAATAAATTGGGGCCATTAAATTGTAGATTTTCATATTCCATTGAAAATATATATACTGCATCCATTTCATATTCAAAATGAAGTTCAAAATGCAACTTATTGCAATAAAATGGTTCTCTCTAACTCTAGTTTTTTTATTTATTTTATATATATATATTTTTGTAATCTCCATTACCACTTGCACTTATAAATATAGTGATCTTGCCTACTTATTTATTATTTCCCCCTTTTCTTAAATTTTCTTTATTTAATTACATATTCTTGGCCAAAAATAGCTAGAAATAAACAAAATCCAAATAATACCAAACATCCAACAGAATTATGTTATCCATATTTATTTTAGATAAGATAGTCTATTCGGGATAAAATTAATTATCATCCAAGTCCTAAGAGAAGCTTTCAAATAATTAATATAGTATCAATTTAATTTTAAACATTAAACTTTTAGAATTTGGTGGTACTTAACCAACATTTCTGTCAAAAATATAATAAATTTGATTTTTTGTGGAGATTCTTCATTAGAGATTTATCTAATAATTTATAAATCAATTGCAATTTTACATTTGCGTACCAATTACTAGAAATAAGGGAGTATCGAAAATGGAACAACTTTGGTCGTAACTTTTGATAGAATATTGTAAGTTAGAAGCTACCGTGGTACATAGGGCATTGGTTTTATAAGTGTTTTTTCTATTCAATATAAAAATTTTGGATTAATTTCTTGAGTTGTGAAACTTCTTTGTATCCATTTGAATGATTTGTGCTATAATATACTTTTGCTTTTAAATGTTATGAGAGATGCTTTCAAAAAAAAAAAATGTTATGAGAGATGATATTTTTATTGAGAAACATAGAGAGCTTTGTGAAAAAAGGAAGACATAGATAAGGGTAGAATGGTAGACATTTGACTAAGTTGCAACTTTGGGCAACGTTTATTTGTCCCACATCGGGACAATAGGAACGACATGGTGGGGGGCAAGTGTACAAAAAGGTCACGTCTCAATGCAATGGGTATTCTCACATCTCGCTTTGAGTATGAAGGGTGGGCCCTTGCCACTCCTAGTTTAGTGAGTAATTATTAAATGAAAAAATAGAGATAAAAAGTAACAATGAAAGAAAATATATAAAGTTGGGGCAGTTGACCGGTTTTGTTCGGACAGAATCGCTGAACCGGCCGGTTTTGTCAGAGAGCCTATCGGTTTAGGGGGGGGAACGGGCCTGTTCTCAATATATTCTGGGAACCGGATCAATTCCAAATTGGCGTTTTTTAAAGCACTGGTTGGTACGATTCTAATATTGCTGATATAATAATATTAAAATCAAAATAATTAGTATGTAATATTATTAATTAATGTTGTTAACAATGTCACTATTATAATTGTTGTTGTTCAACTATCTCTATCGAATATCTACGTGTGGAGCGCCTTAATCCACTAGTATAGCTAAGTAATTGACATATGGAATTCATATGACTTTTTTGGTAACTACAAATCATTGTGGAATTCATATAGCTTCCACATAGGCATTTGAGTACATGGTTCAAATTGACAAAGAAATTGCACTTTCTTAGATTGTTAAATATATCAATTCACAATTTTTGACGTGAACTCTTCTGCAAGAAAATCTGGGATTATTCATCATGCATGGAATTGTTCTTTTTTTCTAAAACGTGTTTCATATAATCAGCTTATATATTTACATGTTTGGGTAGGGGATTTAAAATTAGGTTTTGTCTACTGGAAGTTCATTTTTGCTTTATGTGTGTGTGTGTATATATATATATATAATTATTGTTCACAACATACACGTCAGCTACGTATTATAATAATTGTACTGTTAGTTAATCCTCCTACTTGACCTAACGTTACCAAGTAATTATTACC